CCCCAAAACCCCAAAACCCCAAAACCCCAAGAAATATTGATTTAAAGTCAGTTTGTGGCAAATTAATTTTAATAAATCGAAAATGTCAAAATTTTGCTGTCTTCTTAAGTTCATACTGAGATTTTTAGTGCTGATGCCATTGCTAAAATCATCACTCGACATAATCTTGATTAATAAGGACACTCCTAGATTGATTGTAGAGAGAACATTTTACTTGCTGAATCTGATAGAGAAGCATCTGTTTGTGAATTAGGATATCCTTGGCAGATTTGTAATGCTAAATCAATCGTAAATCTCATTAACTTATGGAATTGTCGTGTTTACTACAACAACCCTCGTATTATTGAATTATAAATGCATGATAAGAACCCTCATTGCTCTGATAATTGGTTCCATACTCTATTTCAATGTCGATTTCAATTTTGATTTTGCAGTCCCAGTTAATTAAGAAAATCTCAGAATAATTGGCATCTTACTACTTATTATTTTCTCACTCTTCTATATCGAAGACACAAAATCGTAGACACAGCTACTAGCTATATCATCAGACTAGATTGATCAAGGCAGGAAAAAGGGAAAAGGTAATAAGAATAATTAGGTGGGTAAAGAGTAGAAAGAAAAAAGTTTAAATTCCTAAAATTAGCAAATAAATCAGAATAATACCAAATAAAGGGTAGAGAATAGAGGCAATAGTAAAGTGGTAAGTGAGGACAATAGAAAATCTAAGAATTAGAGAAATTGGCCTAAATGAAAGATATTAGGTTTTAATTTAATAAAAATGATTCATATTAATTACGTGTATTGTATATTAACTTGAAAATCCTGAATATATTAATATTTATATTACTACTTATAGCATTTGATTAATGGGTTACCTTGAAACACTCGGCCAAAAACTGACATACAAGAATTACAACGACAAAGAACTGATTGAGAAGTATAAGAAAAACGGGCTTCTTCAGTTCTTGAACGTCTACTTAAACCACAAAGATAGATTCATTAAGAAAGAGGCTCTCCACTGGGGAGAAGAAATTGAGTATACTCTGTATTCAATAGATCCTCAGAGCAGAAAGGTGCAATTAGCTAACATGGGCTACAGTCTTATTCAGGGCTTCAACCAGCAGGAGGATCCAGAGGTTTACTTGCAGCCAGAGTTTGGAAATTTCATGGTGGAGGCTGTTCCTAAAACTCCCTATAATAGCACTGAGGATCTTGAAGACTTATTGAAATGCGACTTTCAAATTAAAAAGAGGTAGGTCAAACTTCAATCATTATCAATTCTGATTAATAATCTATTGGTTTTAGACGTCAAATCCTAGAGAAGTACTTCTTGCTCTACGAAATTGGACTACTCACTCTTGCTAGTCCAATAATCTTGGGAACTCCTAATCACATATCCATCGAAGATCCAGATCTAGCAGAAGAAGTTCAAAGATTTGAAGGCAGACTTTAAGAAAGAAATACTTACTCTCAGTCTCAATTTACCATCGATTCTACTGAGAACCCTCACCCAAGATTTTCTGGCTTAATGCAGTCAATTAGGGAACGAAGAGGAGAAAAAGTCGAAATTCTAGTTCCAATTTACGTGGACAAAAATACCAACTTAACTGAAAAAACTACAGATGAGCCCAAGCCTGGCTTTATTTATATGGATAGTATGGCGTTTGGGATGGGATGTAGTTGCCTACAAGTAACTTTCGAATCTCAAACTCTCAATCATGCTAGGTACATTCACGACTAGCTTCTGCCTTGGACTCCAATTTTCGCTGCTTTGTCATCAAATGCTCCAATCTTTAAAGGCAAACTAGCTGATATTGACATGCGGTGGACTGTTATATCTCAATCTGTAGATTGCAGAACCAAAGAGGAAAGGGACTCTACTAGTGAAAACTACATTCCGAAGTCCAGGTATGGCACCTAGAATCATTATCTGTCCAATCACAAGTACGTAAAGCAAGAATACATGGACACAATCTAATATAAAGTCAGTGAAGAGCATATGAAAATCTTATAAAAAGATAATATGCTAGACGACAGATTAGCATACCACATTGCTACTCTTTTTGCAAGAGATCCTATACCAACTTTCAGTAATGAGCATGACGAGAGCTTATTTGACAATTAAGAAATCACTGCTCACTTTGAAAATTTGCAATCCACCAACTGGAACTCAATGAGATTCAAACCTCCTCCTTCAGTATAAAGTAAAATCGGATGGAGAGTTGAATTTAGGACAATGGATATCTAAATTACAGATTATGAAAATTCTGTATTCATTATAGTGCTGTGTCTTGTATAAAATGTTATCAACAATTACGATGTTAACTTCCTTATGCCTATTTCAAAGATTGATGAGAACATGAATAGAGCGCACATGATAAATGCCTACACTGAATAAAAATTCTGGTTTAGAAAAAATATTATTAACTCTGCTGATTACAAAAAATGTAAACTTCAAGAGTCAGACTATATAATTTCATCAGAAGAGGAAAAATTCAGTGAAACTGAGGATGAATTTGTAGAACTATATATTAGGGAGATTATTGAAGGCAATCCAGAAATTGGCTTCAAAGGCATCTACCCTTTAATATATGAATATTTAAGAGACCACTACCCAAAAGACCAGGTTGAAAAGGTTAACGAGTACTTAGACTTTTTTCTTTAAAGAGCTAAGGGATTCCACCCTACTGGAGCTAGTTATATCAGAAACCTAGTTCTTAATCATCCAGAATATAAATAAGACTCTATTATCTCTCAACCCATAGCCCATGATATTATCGCCGATATACTAGAAATTGGAAGCAATGAGGAAAAGAGATAGTAGTACTATGGAAATAAATGAACTTCGAAATACCATAATATCCATGAAGATTAACGATGAGCTTCAGCCCTATCATAATTATAATCATCATAGCTATGACATCATAGTAATTATATAAGAATTTATAATTTAATTTACTCTTGTTATTGCCTCTATTAATAGCTACGGGGTTTTGGGGTTTTGGGGTTTTGGGG